GTGAAGAGCGTTAACAAGACGGTCCGTCAGCGCTCCCTGACCCCGACCAGCTCCAACATCCCGGGCTCCAACCAGTCCCTGTCGGCTCGGACCTCGCCTCAGTCCAGCGGCCTCTCCTCGCCCCACTCAGCCATCTATGGAGACTTCAGCGGAGAAGGCGTTCCTTTCGACAACCGGACGCAGAGCATCCTGATGGAGGACAGGTGAGAACGAGCAGCCGACGTGTTTGAGCTGAATGTGAGGCGTTTAGGTTCACGTTTTGTGTCGTTTCGAACAACAGTTTGGACTCCAGAGAGAAAAAGGCGAGCGGGGTTGAGGACCTACGGCTGGCCCTGCGCCGCCTGTCTCTGCGGCGGCAAAACAACCTGAGCGAGAGGCGCTTCTTTGAGGAGGAGAGGGAGCGACGGCGAGGAGGACAAGACGCCCTTGGACAGGAGAGCGTGTTCACCCCGTCCGACAGCATCATGTCCCTCGGAAACCTGCACCTGTGGACCTCGCGAGGGCCCTACCTCCCTGACAAACTCCAGATCGTCAAGCCGCTTGAAGGTGAGGGGGACAGGGAGCGCGGCGGCAGCTGCAAGGCGGGGAGGAGCTGGGAAGGAGAGTGGCACCGAGGGGTCGGGCCAAAGAAAGGGAACAAGTGGGGATGGGGTTCCGAGGTGGAGCGAAGGTGGGAGAGCCGACACGGGAGAATGCCCGAGGGGGACAGGGAGCGGGTGTGGGGGTGGGCCCGGAGGACTGGAGCTGGGATAGAGAGGGAGAGAGGAAAGAGGTGGGCCAGGGACCGAGCCGGGGGCAGGAAGAGAAGGAGTGCGAGGGAACGTTTGGAGAGGCCTCCGACCCTGATGCTCTTCAACTCCTTCTGGTCTCTGATGCATCATCACAAGTCCAGCAGCTACTACAAAGACACGCAGCCCAGAGGGTGGCTGTAGACACTGAGCTCTTTAAAGGAGGAGTTCAGAGCTTTTCACTCTGGATTGTTTATGAACAATTAATATCTTACATGTTACAGATAAGTTTGAACAATCTCAGTTTGGAGAAACAGGGTTTAATTCTGACTGGACTGATGAGCTCATGTTACACCGCTGTAAAGGGGAACAGTGAAAACAGACACGTGTAACTTCTGTCTCTTCCAGGATTCTAATGGACGAGCAGAAGCAACACGATTCCCCTGTGTTAACTCAGACATAACCAATCGAGACACGATCTGTAACTAAACTCTCAACACACTTTGAAAAGATACCACTCTCTAAAGATTTCTGACTACAATTGTAGTCTGAAAAGTAACAGTAAAGAAAATACATTCATTTTACCGCATCGTTCTGTGGCTTTTAACCTGCAAGACCAGAATAATCGATCATAGATCACTAGATCAGCAGTCACAGTGCATCTTATTCTCATGCATTTTGCTTCAACTGAGGAATGAATTATGGTGTTTGTTTTTCCATTTACATTTCCCACATACTACCATGAACCAAAGACAATTAAGTTTAGCCAAATGATACTAAACAATATAATTGTTTCTTAATGTTTTTTCTATAGTTATTTATTTATTTATTTATTTTTAACTAAAACAGATTTATAACCACTACACTAAGGGCTAGTCCAAACAGAGGCAAGCATCTCAGATCACTAAATCAGTGGTTCCCAGCCGTGGTCCTTGAGGAACGCCATCCTGCACGTTTTAGTTGTTTCCCTGCTTTGACACTCTTGGTTTGAATGAATGGATGATTAATACGCTTCTGCAGACTGGAGGAAGTAAGAAATCACTGAATCAGGTGTGCTGGAGCAGGGAAACAACTAAAACATACAGGGTGGTGTTCCTCAAGGACCAGTGTTGGGAAGTTTCACAACAATCCATTAAAACGTTTTATAGATTTTACATGTTGTCATTTTCACATTACTCTGTTGTTTATGTAGTTTTGTGGTTATTTGCAAACATAAATAGCATTAGCAGCAGTTAGCTGTACCACCTCCAGTCATCCAGTAATCATTTAATGTTAAACTGGTTAAACTGTAAAGTTATGTTACATTTTAGAGATGCACTGGTTTTGATCCTCTCGGACATTCATCCAGTCGGTGTTTATTTCTCCAAACTGAAGTCATTCAAAGAACTATCTACAACAGGTAAGATATTAATCGGTCAGAACCTTTCCACTGAACCCCACTTTCAGAGATATTCTTTTAATTTTAACGTGCAGGGAAACAGACTAAACCCAGGAACTCAGAACCATCGCCCTGTAGAAGCCATCCATTCAGTGTTTTTACTTATCGGCAGTAGTTTGGTCTCCAGTAACTTTTTCTGTGATGTTTTACTGCAGCAGTTCATCTTTGTTTTTGTGATTGAACCTTAAAAACATCTTTAAACGTGTGCTGCCCTCTGCTGGTAGTAAGTGTCATTTCATGTCAGATCTGCCTGCAGTGTTGAACGTTCCAGTTTGAACTTTATGTACATGTTTAAACATTCATTCACAGTTTTGTTCAGTATTTTTCTTATTTGTGTATAATTTCTTTTCTTATTTGTGTGTTTTATTTTCTGCCCTTTTCTCCTGTCTGTGTTTTATTTATATTAATACGTGTGAATGATGAATAAACACTTGATCTCACTCTGATTTTTCATTTCGTTTCACCTCCGCATCATTTCCCTTCTCTTTGTTTGTTTCTCATGTTTTGTTTTGCTTTATTGTTTTACATCTTTGTGAACGTTAAATCATAAAAATTAAAGTGAATGTGGCTGGACGTTAGGCCTGTCACGATAAACAATAAATCAGTCGCATGATAAATGAAAATTATTGACCTCATTTTCATTTATCGGCTTTATCGTTTCTTCGTCTCTCTTTCTACTGAAGACACTGGATGATAAAAAGGATCAGCTCCAGTGCTCTTCACTGGCCTCTCCCTTTCTCTTTTCTCTTTAAAATCAAGTTTAACGATCCAAAATCACGTTTTTGGATCGTTAAAAGCAGCTAAGCTGAGAAGCTAAGCTAACAGGCGGACCTCGGGAAAAACCTCTGTCTTGTCGAAACTCCAAAATTTGATTGAAACCCGTGCCTTCGTGTAAAAAGTTGTTTTTCTCTGCAAAAAGAAGCTGAGAACTTGTTTACTGATTTTTTTTATTTTATTAAAAGCTTTGTGTGAAAAATGCTATGCTAAAGAGCTCAAACCACACCGAGTGGCCGCCATTTTGAGAACCGAAGAGAGACAGCCCATGTTACGTCAAGAGGTCTCCCTCCCATTTTTCTTAAAGAGCACGCTGCTCGCTCCCTCACTATCCATCCTTCGGTTCAAACAGTCTTATACTGCCATCCGGTGGTTGAAAAATGTACTACACACAAAACATATTAACCAACATTTCTTCTTAAATTTGACAATAATTGCTAATTATTGTCAAATTTCAAACTATATCGTTTATCGCAATAATTTCTGAGACAATCACCCAGCAAAATTTATGACAGGCCTACTGTACGTCTCTTTGTTTTGTTTCGTACACGTTTCATTTCTCTTCCGAGGAAGTTTCTCAGCTCAAACTAAAAAAGAATAGCCATTGGCTCCAAGTTTGTACTCGCGTGCAAATCACTGTCCCTCCCCTCCTCCCTAAGAGTTGTTGTTAGGTTCTTTATCCACCTGGTCCACCTTGATGCAAACTGGCGTGAAACTGTCGGGGTGTTCGATTCGTCTAATGTGGACCAGGTTAGAGTTGCATTCTGATCCGACCCAGCCCCAACTTCTGAACCCCACCTGACCCGACAAATTAACGGTAATTACAGGTCCGAACCCAGAAAAAAAACGACATTTTTAATTAGTTATTAATGATCGGGGACATGCAGCTCAATAAAAGCGGCAGAAGATTTGGCTTGGCCGTAAAAAAGTATTTAAACCCTGTTTCTGCTGCATTATACTGAATTGACACGCAGACAGCTCTGACACACGTCTGCTTGGGGATCTCACCTGTTTGGGTCATCGGCCACGCGCTTCCGCTGAGTGCAGCGGCTGAATGAAAGTCCATGTGGGTGATGGATCACTACCGGGCTGTACAGTTCCATCTGAAGCTTAACTGAACTTTTTATCTCTTTCAGGGCCGATTAGCTCGTGGTGAAATGGCCGTGTGCGACAGATGGATGTATGGCAGGCCATGTTGTAATATAACTGGATCACGGCTGATCCTGACCCAATTAAAAGCCCGAGACCAGCCCAGCCCGCCCATTAATCACATTATAACGGCCCGGTCCTATTCCAGGTCGGTCCGGGCCAAGTTAGAAATGACAGCTCTAAATCAGGTTAAGAAAGACCCAAATCCTCGGGGACTGATTTGCATGTGAGTTCAGCTCTTACATTTGAATTGACAAACCTCCTCTGATGAGTAGTCCAGGCACCTTTTTTAAAACTCTTAAGGTTTGAAGTGTCTGACGGACTGTGCACAATCACCGTGCAGACAGTTCCATGACATCATCATTAAACTCTACCTTCACACAGGTCCAACCCGTTCTCCTCCAGCTGTGTTCATGTTGTGGTTCTGCTCGTGAACAGCTGCCAGCTTGGCCCAGCATCACCACTGCAAACACAAATAGTTATTCATTGATTACGAGTGACAAACAGAATTTTCTCCCTCGGTCTAAAAGCCGTCTAAGCTGATTTTCTGAGCCCACTTGATGCTGAGACGCTGACAGCTGTGAAGGGCTTTGGATGCGTTTGTGTTTGAAGCGTGGCAGTAACGCTCGTTTCTGTCCGCCAGGCTCGGCCATCCTGCACCAGTGGCAGCAGTTAGCGCAGCCTCACCTGGGGGTGATCCTGGACGCCAGGCCAGGCGTGGTGCCAAAAGGCTACAGGCCCCTCGAGCTGGAGCTCGAGCAGGTCCGTCTGGGGGGGGGGTCATTTTGAATTGATGCTAATGTAGATTCTGTTGTTGCTTTGAAAGACTTGTCACTTTAATTAGATTTTAATGAACTTAAGGGGACAGAAACATATCGTGACGCAAACACTTCAGGGAATTTACCGAAACATTTAGTAGATAATGGAGTGGGATGTTTCAGGGGAGGGGCTGACATCACTGACTAAACTCTTCACGTTTGTTGAAAACAAGCTGGTTCTGGTTTGGATTTGGACCCTTCGCTCTGCTGCAGGTGTACCCGTGGGGCGGTTTCGAGGAGGATGAACCTGGAGAGCAGTACTTCCAGAACCTGCCCACCTCCTCAGCTATTGCCTCTCCAGCTGTGGTCCCCGCCTCCAACGCAGGTGTAGCCCACCTGGGGCGGCCTGCGGCCTGCCTCGCTCCACCCTCGCCGCCCTCTCCGTCACCGTCACCACATCTTAGCAACACTGATGGAATGGGTGAGGAAACACCCTCACAGAGGGGGGTGGACACATGTGGAAATGGATTTGTTCTTTCTTTTACTCTAAAGGTTTCAGGTCAATTGTACGCTTTAGAGAAAGTCAACTAAGAACATCCTGATGCACGAATACATAGTTTGAACTGAGACTAAGGGGTGGTCCTTCAGTACTGTTGAATGGGCTGAGGAGGTGAAACGTTGAGTTTGTTCCCTGTTCAGCTCTTACATTTGGACAGTGTTTGTGAACACGTGGTCCACAGGTAAATAAAACATCCATCTTTATTATAATAACAAAATAAACCAGTAACTTCATGAAGATTTAAAAAGGCCGGGGTTTCCTGAGAAGACCAGTGGCTGTCTGCCTCTGGTGGAGAAAACATTTACAACACCTGCTCTGATGAAGAGCATCCCACTGGGACAAGGACATCCATCCATCCTCCATCCATCCATCATCCATCCATTCATCCATCAATCATCCAAACATCCATACATCATCCATCCATCATTCATCCATCATCATCCATCCATAATCCATTCATCCATGAATCCAAATATACATACATCATCCATCTGTCCATCCATCCATAATCCATCAATCAATCATCCATCCATCAATCAGCCAGACATCCATCATCCATTCATCCATCAATCCAAACATACATACATCATCCATACATCCATCCTCCATCCATACATCATCCATCCAAACATCCATCCATCATCCATCTAAACATTCATTCATTCATCATTTATCCATTCATCCATCCATCCATCATCCATCAGTCATCCATCCATCCATCCGTCCATCATGAATTCATCCATCAATCATCAAAACATATATACATCATCCATCCATCCATCATCCATTTATCCATCAATCATCCATCCA